TTCAGTGCAGCTTGAATTTCTTTCTTCATTACCATTGGCTCTTGTTAGAACAAGGAAACACTGTATAGTTCAAAATCAGGAAAGGAGTGTGTCAGGGATCGTCAACCTGTATGTGAAACAGATCATTTGGGAGGCTAGACTTTTATGAAGAGAAATGTGGCATCAGAATTGGAGGAAGACTCATCAACAGCCTGCGTTATGCTGATGGTACAACATTGCATGCTGAAACCGAGGAGAACCGGAATTATTGGCTGCAGAGGGTCAAGGACTGTAGTCTTCAATATGGATTGAAGCTCAGTATCAAGAAATTGGCCCATCACTGGGCCAACCAACAGCTTCATGATAGATGGAGAAAGATTGAGATTGTTAATAATTTCAGCTTACTTAGTTCTACAATCAATACTCATGGCACCAGCAGTCAGAAAATCGAAAATTGGGAAAATTTGTCAGGGACCTGACTCTAGAGTGCTAAAGAGCAACAAGGTCAGTTTAGAAACTAAGGTGTACCTGATACAGATGATGGTATTTGGGAGTACTTTCTAGACAGTGACCAAAGAGGACAGAAGAAGAATTGATGTGTTTGAGTTGTGGTACTAGGGAAGAGTATCGAACAAGAAGAGAAAGACCTTTTGCTCTCTTCATGGACGATAATCTTTGATGTCATTTCATGCACTGATCATTAATGTTCAATGCCTCCAGCTTATTCTGGAGATGGCTTTGGAATTCAGATGAGGATAGACTTAATGTATTTTGTTTCTTGTGGACTTGTTTTAATTTAGCTTCAGTTTTAACTTGTGCATGAGTAATTGATGGTGTGTTCTATGGTCAGCACCAGACCAGGTTTTCACTGCTCTTACTGAGCTCTTTAACAATTTTTTCCACAGTCATTCTGGTTCATGTGTAGTCCAACAGGTGAGTTGCATGTGTAAAGTTGCCTTTTGTGTTTTGGGTTTCTTTTCCCTCCCCACTTTATTTTATATTCGTTTGCATACAAAAATTCCTATACATTGTGTATCATTCATGTGCATTGTGTTTTACACATTGCTACATTCATGTTGTGTTTCAATTATCACTCATATAAGTTGTGTTTTATAAAATTAATCATCATTATTCTATGCCTACTGTTAATCTTTTAGATCCCCATTGGATCTTTTCCTAGTGCTTTCACTCTTCCTTCCCCCAAAAAGCCCCAACTCTGTATTCTTAGTGATTTCCTCTTGTCTCCACCCTCTCTCCCTCTGCCTCTATCCCCTTCTCTTTATTCTGTCCTTATCTTTTGATTTTGGAGAATTTGATTATGATATATCTTGATATTTTCTTTTGGGTTCTAGTCTGTTTGGGGTTTGCTGAGCTGCCTTAGTGTGGATTTCTTGTTCTTCATAATACCTCAGAAGTTTTCTGCTAGTACCTCTTCCACAATGTTCCCAGTGCTTTCCTTGCCTTCCTTGTGTTCTGGAATTCTGATTATAACATTTGTTTTTCCTTTTGATGTTATTCCATGTGATTCTAATGTTTTTGTCATTTTCCTTCCATCTCCTCACTTTTTTCTTTTAGTATGTTCTCATTGAGATTCTTGTATTCCAGCTCATTGACTTTTCTGTTTCATCTCCTGTTCTGCATTTTTGTCCCTCTAGCATTTTGGAAACTTTGCAGTTTTGGCCTTGATATTCTGGTTTGTATTTTCATGCATTTCTCTTATTTCTAGTATAGTACTCTGTTTGCCTCTTGATGCTTTTTAATTTCTTCTGCCTTTTACAGTTTCAAGTCTTCCATCTTCTACAGTTTTTTTCAATACTTTTTCATACTCCTCCATGTCAGTACATTTCTTCTGCCTCCCCATCTCTGAGGTATTTGCTTTATTCATGGCTTCCATTTTTCCTTCCTTCCATCTTTGTACCTTCTTCAGTAGCTGTTCATAGAACTCTATGTTGATATATTTCTTCTGCCTCCTTGACTCTGTGGTATTCATTGAGTCTGCAACATGTTCTGCTTTTTTAGGAGAAGGCTTGCTTTGTTTTTTTCCCACAATGTTTGAGGCTGCTTGCTGCTTTTCTGACATTATGTGAAGTTTTCTGTGGTATATGTTAGGCTGTTTCTGTTGTGTTTACATAGGTTGGCAACATGTCCGTAACTTTATGAAACTATTGTTTAGTTGTAGGCTTAAAGTGTTCCATTTCTGGCGGTGGGCAAATCAATCTACCAGAAGTCCTTTTGGGGGTCTGGTAGTGGGAAGCTTTACCTTTCCTAAAGTTCTTCAGGTCCTCTCTGGTCTGCAGTGTAGATCTGTGGGACTCTGGCCTGAGTGTGTGTGGTCTTCCTCTCCTAAAGGTTGGTATTGTCCTCAGTGGTTTATGGCCCATTTGAGAGACTAGGTTTCCCAGCTGATGCAGTTTCTCTCCAAGGGAGTTGCAGGCAGCTCCTTCCCCCTGACCTCCATGTGCCCAATATAGGGAAGAGTCTCTCACTTGATTGTGGCCCCTTCTCCTAAAGTCTCTTGTCCTTGATGGTCTGTGGAATGACATAATATTTTTTTAAAAAGGTATTTGTGATGAATAAATCATTGAATGTATAAAACTCATTTATCTGATGTCCACCTTCACTTCTGTTATCAAGATCATACTTTTCAGTTACCATTCCTTCTTCATTGTTTCCTATTTTTACATTCTAGTTACTTAGTAATTACTAAAACTTGATTTCATACATGTTTGGGCAATTACAGACTTTAAAAGCTGATAGAAATCCTGAATTTCCTCCTCTTTGCTTTAGTAGTTGGCGTATATATTTGAATTAATAGGTCTCTCTTGTATACATATGGATATGATCCTATTAGTAGAATTATATTTAATATTTTCTTGGAAGGAAAATGGCCATCCCATTTTACTTACAGCCTTTTAAGACCTGCTGGAGGGTCACCTGTAAGTTAGTTCTGACTTGACAGCAGTTAAGTGAATGATACTTAATATGATTATTTTTGATGTGATTAGTGTTGTTCCAATTTGCTATTATTTTCTATTTTTACATTTTCTTTGTTCTCTTTTCCTTACTTCTTTGTTAATTACTCAAATAGATTTTATTACAATGTTTATATTTATTTCCTATGTTCGTTTTTTTGCATTTAACTTTTAGTTTGTGTTTCATTTGGGGTTTATAATAAATCTCTCACATTCCTTAGTTTGCTTTCAGTAGTTGCACTACATACAAAGTATAAGAACCTAGAACAGCAAGCTTCCCTTTGTTTGCTCCTGGCCCTTGAGTTGTTTAGTTCTATTTTTCATTTTATATGTATTATAACAAATCCTCTACAATCAAAATATGATCATCAGTCTGTCCTGCCCGAATTTAAAAATCATCTTAAGAATAGATTTGAAGCATTCAACATTAATGACCAAAGACTAGATGAGTTATCATGAAGGATATTATCTGTGAAGAAACCAGAATGCCACTACAAAGGCAGAGAAGAAAGAGAAAAATGAAAATGGATGTCAGAATAAACCCTGTAAATTGCACTAGAATGTTGAGAAAACTAAACAAAGGAAAGAGATGTTGAAGTAAAAGAGCTGAATAGAAAATTTCAGAGGGCAGCCCCAAAAGACGAAGCAGAGTATTATAATTTATTTCAGAGATCTGAGATTGGAGAATAAAAAGGGAAGTTCACAGAACATTTATCAAGCTGAAAAAGGTGAAAAAACGAATTTAGACCTTGAATTGCAATATGTAGAGATATGCTATGGGCAAAATCATGAATAAACAGAGTACTTTATAAAAAAGAATAGGCCAACACTAAATATTTCCGAAAGTACCACATTATCAACAGTAAATGGTAATGATAGAAGAAGTTCAATGCATTGAAGGCATTGGCAAAAAATAAGGCCCTGGGAATCAGTGCGATACCAATTTACATATTTCGTGTACCAGCTGCTGTCCTGGACATGCTCACCAGTCTGTGCCATGAAATTTACCTGGTTGACTAGCTGGAAGAGATCTGTGTTTGTTCCCATTCCCAAGAAAGGTGATCCAACAGAATGTGGAAATTATTAAAAAATAACCTGTATGCAAACCAGAATATCTGGGAGGCTGGGCTCTATGAGGAGCAATGTGGTATCAGGATTGGTGGAAGATCTATCAACAATATGTGTTATGCAACCCTGCTTGCTGAAATTGAGGAGGACCTGAAGCGCTTGCTGCAAAAGGGTCAAGGACTGCAGCCTTCAATATGAATTGAGGGTCAATGTCAAAAAGACAAAGATTCTCACCACTGGGCCAATAGGCAGCATTAGGATTCATGGTGAAGAGATTGAAATTGTTCAC